AATGGGTAGCACAAATGAAATTATACTGACATACCTCGATTCAGATCTCTACCTTAAAATGCCTTTAAATCAAAAAGAGGAAGTGATTCCCATTCCCTTCTATTCCCCAGTCTGTTTATCTCCTCTAAAGCAGTAGCAGCTTTTTGTGCTTGACTAGGTTTCAAAGGACTGAGATATCCAATATTTAACTGCTGAGTACCATGTGACAAATTAATTTCAAAAGTTTCATTTGAAGCAAATGCATTATACAGCTATCACTCTGTTATTCTTTAGGTATGAATCCAGCCTCCCTGAAGCACAGCAAATGGAACTTGATTTCTCAAAACCACTATTTATAGCAGCTGCACTATTCACTGCGTGCAGGTGAGTACAGTGTAAGGGGTTCTTTCATAGGCTTAGATACCTGGTGAGACATTCAGCAGAAATAGTGCATGCAGTGTAAGCAACTGGTTGATTCAGCATGGCTAAAGGCTCTTTACTACTGCATTCTGCATCTCTACTCCTGGAACTGGAGACATCTCTAGCACAAGAACCCTTTTACAAGGAAATCTCCAGCCTACACTGCATTTGCTTTCAGGGGGGAACAGAAGTTACATCAGACGTACAGAAGAGGATCTTGAATTACTTGTCCTAGAAGAAATGAAATCTGCCTTTCCTGGTGTGTGATTGATGAAGCAGATAATTCCATTTGGATGTGTTATCCCTGACAGTAGCTGAAGAAGTCCACCAAGCCAATATAACAGTAGTAATATTTTCAGATTTAACCAGAACTTTCTTCTCTTGTCAGTGTAGATTGGTGTTGGACATAAAGCAAGAAGTTCTGCATGTCTCTTGGTGAGATATTGCTCAAGATGAAAGAATGGCTGCTGCCAGCTTACCTATGAGCACCTGTACCATCCCATCCTCAGGCTCTAACATTTGGGGGATGGATTTGTCTCAGCTTTAGACCAGCATCATCTCAGGAGATGGCTGACAGGAGAGCCTGACACATTTAACAATTGGGAAGAATTTGCTTGCGCGTACATGTTTTCCCTCTCAATATTGTGCCTTTTAACAGTCAACAATTCAGGTGTTGTGTAGTTTCATAGCTCTTGACAGATGTTTTGACTGCAGTCCCATTCAGTTCTTCACAAGAGTAGTTGCCTTGCTTCCCTTGAAACCTATGAAGTACCTTTTCCTCATAGAATTTCCTCTCATAATTTGAGCTAACTGTGGGCTTCACTTCCAGATCCATCTTGACTCTTCCTTCCCAAAGGCAGCGTTGATAGAGTAATAAATATCATCTCAGCTGGATGATACTTGCTGAGAGATAAATTAATTTTCTGTTACAGGTGTTTGAAGCTGAAAGTGGACAAATCTAGGATGCTGGCTATATCTGGAGTGAAAAAAGCAATATTTGATCGCCTGTGCAGTCAGATGGAGAAGATAAGCCGGCAATTCAACAGTATGTTTTTGACCTTATCTTTGTAATACAGCTTACCCAACGTCTAGGCTCACAGTGTCCCCATGCATTTCTGCTGGTTGATTTCACTTCAACTATTTTCTTTCAGCCAAACCTGCCCACCATTCCAGCGTTTCCCTCAGTCCTGTTCCCACTCACAGTCCTTGCTTCTGGGAAGGTCACAACAGTTTAGAACATGATAAGGCCCACGATATCTATCCTCTTCCTTAATGCTCACAGTTCTTTACATTTTCTGCTGCTGAAAGTTATCCCCTCTTTCTCCCATACCACTAAAGCATTTTGGATTCATCCTTGCCTGCTTTCTTCATCCTGTTTAATATAGCAACATAATATGGAAATTAGCATAAACCTTTTACTACCTCTGTTGCTTTAATTGACGCTCCTGTGTTTTCCTTTCCTTCACAGGGATTAACACACAGCTAAGCCTTGATCTCCTTGTAGTAATTCAACCATTACCTGACACCATGCCTCCACACACAGCAGGCAGACATAAGAGTCTTTCTCACCTGCTGCTCACCTGCTGAACTTCCAGCTCTACCCACTCTTTAGCATAGGGCAAAGATTGAAGTATATGTTCCTTTCCGTCCTTGTATCTTTGTTCCTTCCTGTTTATCTCCTCTTTCCCTCCCCAGATTTTTATTCTCACTCTCCCACTGACAGTATTCCTCCTCCACTTCATCTTCATATTTCACACTGCAGTGTTTTCTAGAGTGTGCTGCCTGAATTCAAACCAAAAGCTGCTCTTGCTAGGCATGGAGCTGCCAACAGAGAAATTATCCCACCACAAAAGCAGCTTCAAGGCAGACAGGAGTTCCTTTTTCAGGTTAGGTATAAATTGACAGCGTGCTGTGGGTATCTGTAAAACAAAGCAGTTGTGGAAATGGTACAGAAGGGAGAATGCTTTGTGAATAATCAAGAATGGCAGCAAGGTGTTTTTTGATATGAACAAAGCTGATCATTATGGTTACACATGCAGCAGCAGCACTAGGTAAAGCAGCCAGCCAATCCTCGCAAGCCTTGGAGGGTGCTAGCACCTTTGCATATACAGTTTGGCTGTCAGTCTTTAACAGAGAATCTTTATGACGAGGAAACACCACTTGCCTGCTAAGCTGTTTTCCAGCCAGGTCAATCAGTTAAGTCTATTCACTAACTGGCTGCACAAGAAGCTATGCTAACACAGCAGGCAACGTGGAAAGAAGAATACATCACAAAGGGAGGGCACTGGGGGAAGGCATCACTGCCGTGAACAATTGGATGTAGAATAACATCCCACATTACTCATCCCACATCATTCAGAAGTAAAGTAACTTAACTTTTTTGTTTGTTTGTTTTTTTTTTAGAAGATGATACTCCATTAGCTGCAGAGACATCTGAAACCCAGCAGACTGACCTGGAGCAATGTGAGAAAGAAAGTAAGTTGTGTTTAGCTGTGAACTAAGATTATCGGAGTAGTTTGGGGTTTTGTTGCTGCTTTGCAGTATTTTAGTTGTAGAATAAGCAATAAAAATTGGTTGACACCATTCTGCAATCTACTATAATAGAAGGACTAATTAAACGCAGCAAAAGGACAATGTTTATTATACTGAGTAGTTGTAGTAAAGTTAACTCTTACACTCAACCAGAAAAATGAAAAGGTGACTGCCTTGGGAGGGGGGCAGATGAGGAAACTAGAGAGTTGAGATAGTGCAGTAATGGTCTCTGTACATGAATAGGCTGATCTCTGTACACTGGCTGATTATTTCCAACAACACATTGCTGGTGCTGGCTCATCATGTACTTACCTTATTTTTTTTTTCAAACATAGGTTCTGAAGATTATGATGATGAGATTCCATGTAAACAACCAAAGACTGAAACAAAGCAAGACTATGAAGAATGGAAAAGGAGAATCCTGGAAAATGCTGCTAAGGCACAAGAGACAAATAGTGGTACTGTTTCTATAGTGCCACCTTGTAATATCACTACTGCTTGCTCATAATGTTTACAGTCCTTTTGTTCTTAACAATTCCTGTAGCATATAAGCGATGACTGGCTGGTATTCAGCTAATTTTATTTTTTGAGCTAGTTTTTAAAAGTTATTTTTAGTAAATGACAATTGAGGTGATTTTTGGAAGAAGCATGTTTAATTATTTGCCAGGCTGGTACTTGAGCAGATGTAGCGTTAGGTGGTAGGACTGCTTCATTTTTCCTGGTACAAGCAGCAGGTGACACTCCAATACGATGTTCAATGTGAATAAATTATAAGTCACATGTCCTTGTGCCTCTAGCTGGCAGTAGACAATGAAAAAGAGTGGGAGGAGACCAACTGTGCCTTGTTAAACAGCAAAAGCAACAGATGAATTAAAGACTGAGTAATTTTTAAAACTGTCAAACACTTATTCACTGAACTGACAATAGTTTTTATGCCTGTGTAGGACTGAAGTCTCTTGTGTATGTAATGGGGCCCAGCTGTTCCAAGAAGCAATAAAGATATCGGAAGGAAAAGCTTTGCGTTAAGACGTGCATTTTTATGCACATGCTTGTTGTATGTAAAACTTCTGGGGGGCAAAGTAAGACAGGAGGACCCATCTGTGGAAGGTATCCAGGGAACAAGGATTTCAAACCTAGTGAAGCTGGGACACAGACCTTTTTGTTGTATCTCAGGAGCATAAGCTTCAACTGAAGAGTGCCCTGACCCATAGGTCTTAGAGGCAACTTGTGTCATCCTATACTTTCATCCCACCTATTCAAAGTAGGACTTAAAGTAACTATTTGTGAAAGAAAAATCATAACCTTTAGCAGTCCGTGACTAGCGTTACTATAATAAAGTCAAGCCAATTCTGCTGCCCATTTCTTGTCTTCTGTCTGAGTTGTATGAACAAGTTAACTTTTATAAATCATCATTTAAAAAAAAAAAAAAAAAAACAGAAACTCCTTAGCTATTTGCATGAAGGGAAATAACTCCTGTCTGAGCACTTAGATTTGAAACAGCATTCCCATCTGAGCTTCTCAACAGTATTTTGATGGTCTGCCAAATACCTCACTGCTTAGCATGTTCCTTGCTTACCTGGGTGACACTGATTCCAGCTTCAGCTATTACCCTATGGGGCCACCTGTTTTTTTTTGTTTTTCCATACTCACTGTTCCAGTGTCTTGCAGACTGTGTGTGTTTTTAGCTTTCTGTAGACCATGCAGGACATTATGAAATATCCCATGAGACTGCAGAGATGGTTTTCACTGTATTGCAGAATTACGTGGCTACAGAAGCTGAAAAGATTTCTGTTAAGAACAATAGCAAGCCAGATGCATCCTCTCTTCGTAGATGGAGAGGAAATATAAGACAGCAGAGAACAGCTATATGTATTACCCCCTTACAAAAATAGAGGAAGTACTACACAGTAAGTGGTAAAATGAAGCTTACTAGCAAATTACCTTTCACTTCATCTTACAGTGTAATTGAAGCATAAAAAAGAAATAAATTCTAGTCACCTTTAAATAGTAAAAGCCAATTTCATACCTGATGAGAGTCCTGAAACATAACAGTAACTTTATTGTGGAATGGACTCCAAACAAATGCATGGCGTGCAGAGAAAAATCTTAGTTAATGAACCCCCACTAGGAGCTGTAACAAAACATCTGCTATTAATATCTAACATGTGGCAGAGGGGTGAGATCTTACATTCTGTAAGACCTAATCAAAGATGCTTTCTAATGTTTGTTTTTTGAACCAAAATGGAGGAATGGGCCTGTTCCTTTATAATGTATTTTATTAGTATTAGTTCAGAAATATACAGACCAAAGAATATATCCACTTCTAGCATGCAGAACCACTGTGGAAGGAAAATATGAACAAAAGTGGGCCTTCACAGAAGGTGATACATTGTAAAGATTCACTGGATTTTAATCATTTTTCACTGCTTTGATAGTAGAAAATCGGCACCAGTCCAGAATCCAGGGATTAGAATAAGTGGGAAGCACTAGAGTGGAAAGAAGATAACTAGGCTAGGGTAAGGCATTCATAAAATCTTCTTTATTAGCAACCAGCACTTTTGCTAATTTAAGGGATATGAAAATCTGTAAGGTTAATGGGAGCTTGGCAGCAGCTAGATGTCTTCACTGAAAAGCTAGTTTTAGGAAAACCAGAAAGTATCACTAATAAAGAGCCTGTTCAGCTTACACTGAGCTCTACAAAATCTAGAACAGGAATGAAAGAAACCACAGGTCTAATAAATAATGTTGCATTTTCAGCTGAGAAATTGTAAGTGGCTTCAATTCTTTAGACATCATGAAGAGTTAGTATTGTGAAGAAAAAGTCTTATGTTTGAGAGCAAGTTGGGAAAAAAAGGGTTTCAGTGTTCCAGCTGAGCCAAAAACAGTCTAGCAATACACCATTTCTCTGGAGCTAAACAGCATTAGAATGTGTTCTGCATATCAACTTTCCAGATAAAATGCATTAAAATCGTTGAAAAGGATTTAAAAAAATCTCAAAATAAGAACTACAATACTAAGGGCTGCAGTCACACCCAATGAAAAGCATTTACACATTTAAAATGTGAAATGAAGTGTCTGGAAGTCTTTCCAGTACATTATGAGCTATTTGCAGAGCGACCCAGCAGCCACTGCCTAGTTTCTATTTGTGGCAGTTTCACCCATCTATCTTCTCACTAAAGTAAAAGTTTGATCTTCCTGCTTAAGTAACAAACCTGAGGGAAAATATTGTGCTATTCTTGTGGCAGTCCACTAAAACTGATTGTGTATACAGCAGTTGTGAAGAAAGTCTTTAGAGATCCCATGCTTGGTGTGAGAAGACAGAAAACTGCTGGTCTTTTTGGTAAAAACGCCTTCAGGAAGAGGTCAGCCCCACTAAATTCTATTTTTTCATCACTATGTACAACTAAAAGCTTGTAAGAACAAAAAAAAGTATATTCTGTTTTCTTAAGTTATTTCAGTGCCTCTGCTTTCAGGTAACACTTTCTGTTTCTTGTCTGCTTTCAGAGACATTTCCGGTAACTAAGCACTGACACACAATATATGAGAAAGACAGATGCAAGACTTGACATTATATATGGGATAGAAATTACTGAAGATACTGAGTTGTTCTCCTATGGTTTCACATCCATCTTCAAGCATGGTAGTTGCTTCATACAACATTATGCAAGCTTGACAGACATACTCTGAAATCTCTTCAGTCTGTTAGCAGCAGCCACCACATAAAAATGTTTCTGTGAACAAAACAGAGTGGTCTGAGTGTGAGTATAACTGAGGAAAAGGACTTTTTCTTTCTAGATTTTCCTTCAGCAAAAAAGACTATCTATCTACCTAAAGGTCCTCATGGAGGTTGAACATGTTAAGTTGCTAAGTTGAACATGAGTCAGCAGCGTGCCCTTGCCATAAAGGTAGCTAATGGTGCCCCAGGTTGCACTGTTTAATGTGAGCAGCTCAAAGAAGTTGATCCTCAACACTGGTGAAACCACAGCTGTAGTACTGTGTCCAGTTCTGGGCTCCACATTAGAGAAGAGACCTAAAACCTGAGAGTCTAATAAATGGCCCATAAGATGGGTAAGGGACTGGAGTCTCTCCTATGAGGACAAGATGAGAGATCTGAGACTGCTCTGCTTGGAAGAAAGCTCAAAGGAATCTTATCAATATATATAAATATTTGAAGGGAGGGTGCAAAAAGGATGTAGCCAGGCTCTTTTCAGTATTGACAAAAGAGGCAATTGGCAACAAACTGAGACAGCAGATTCTATCTGAAGATCAGGAATCCTTTTCAATTGTAAGAGTGAGTAAGCAATGGAACACGTTGCACAGAGGGGGTGCCTCTCTCCTTCAGGTTACTAAAAAGCCACCTATATGTGGTCCTGCTTGAGCAAAAGGGGTGGACAGGAGGTCCCTGCCAACATCAGCCATTCTGTGATTCTGGAAAAACTGAGTACAGGGTCAGAAAACAATCACTGTCTAAGCCACAGGTAAATCAGCTCACTTAAAGCAAGAAACGGTCTTTCTACAGCTCCCAAAGTCTTAGTTTCATATGCTATGACGACAGCCCTCCTTCACAGAAATGCCAAATAAAATCAAAGAGAAGCCTGAGGAAAGGCTGATCAGCTTTCAGTACTTGTCTTCACAGTGCAGGGAACATGGTTACGTATGGGTATAGCATGGTTCCCTATGTAACACGCACTGGCTGCAGCACTTCAGCCTTGGTATACAGGGCCCAGTGCAAAGCAAAAAAATGATCTGCCACTAGTTGAGTTCTAAGAATCCTCAAGGATGATACTGGAATCTTGCCAGCAGGAGGTAACGCAGTGCTTTGTACTGAGAAACCTCTGATTACTGCAGAACAGAAAGCTGGTACCATGGATTGCACTTGTACGAGTCACAGCGTCATGTCTTAGATGACACGTTTTTTACAACACAAATGCATAAGAGTGAAACAGCTCGAGTCAAAGAGTTGAGAAGGTATAAGATTCAACTTCTTGATAAGGAATTACAAGTCTCCGGTGACAGGACAGAAGAAGATGGGTCTGAGTTTTCTTAGCATTTTCTCCATTGCTTATTTGTAAAAGGTGACTATGTCAATTATTTACAAACCAACAAACATACGACTGGAATCTATCACTTCCTTCTTCACTCACAATTTACTTCTGAAAAGTCTTGGGCTTATCAGAAAGGTTCTGAGAATTTTTCCTGATGTCTTTAAGTCTACTTTTTTTTTTCCTGTCCCAGATTTCCATTCTCTGCAGTGGGAAACAAAACTGCCTTTCATTGTATCCCATCACAACCGTTGTCAATGCAAAAATGTCTCCATTAAAAGAAGAAAAAAAAAAAAAAAATTGGAGTGAGCTAACTACCATTTGAAGCCTCTGAACTTGTAAAGAAAAAAAATATAGAACTTCAAATAACAAACTGAAGAATTCCTAAACTCATGTTTACAATAATTTAGTAAAACTGAGCCAATATTCAGAAAAGCAGAACCTGCCTGGTTGAGCTGATTTTCCCCCTGGAAGATTTTCCAGGCTAATTACCTTCCATTTTCTTTGAGCTATGTAACTTTGCAGCAACAACTGGGACTTCAGGCGAAGCTTGAACCTCTTGGCTTTGGCAGGCAGGTTGTTTAACCACTCGTGCTTCAAACACTGTGTTGCACTCATCCGGCAGCTGCAAGAAAAAAAACAGAAGTACCATGTAAACACAGCCACCCCTCTTGCCATTTTCTCTGAATCTCAGGCTCCTCAATCTACAGATTACATAAATGCTTCCCTTAAATAAACCAATGCAAGTGAGTGGAAAGGCTTCTTGAGATGCTATTCATTCCAGTGCATAGAGTCCTAACAACATCCTGCACTCTCTAGTGTAAGGAATGAGTGGTGTGAAAAGTTGCTGGCAGGGTGTGCAGTGGGTTGACTGTCCGGTGTTCAACTATTCTATTTTACCTTGTTTGGATTTTGTTCTGAAGAAGCAGCTGTACAGGTTCATCGGTTATGTATAATTTTGTTATGCAAATCAAGAACCACTGAAAGAATCACTGCATGAAAAAAACTGTTGTGGTGCCATCTACCTGTCCTGAGAGTGCAGGCTTATTCTGTGCCTCATATTTAAAAAGCACAAACATCCCTTCATCCTAAGCTTAGATACAGATAAATATAACATTATTCTCAGACATTCAACAATGGCCTCAAACATGAAAACCTGCCCAAAAACCTTGAGAAATAGAGAAAATCTTGTGAGAGAGGCAGGGAGACAAGATTTTAAAGTAAGTTCAATTTGCATTTTTTAAAAACATACCCTATGACTTCTGGCTCAAAATGTAATAAAGTTATTATAACCGATTTGTCTGATTTAGGTAATGATCTGGAAGACAGTAATATTCTAAGCACTCCTTGAAATACCCCTCAAATATTTTCTGTATTGCTTTCTGTATGCTTTTCTGTATGCATTATTTCCTGTTTTGATTAGTTTTGTATCATCACCCAGCAAGAGAAAACTATTTTCTATCCACCCTACCCCAGCCCCATAGCCATTTTCTGACATCAATGTCACACTCATTCTTCTGTTGTTTCATACATACAATCACTTTTTATTTTACTTCATCCCAAAATGAGAAACCAACATGCAGAGGTAAGTCCTAAATGCTTCTTAATAGCTACCAAATGCACTTAGACCACTTCAGAAGAAAACTACGCACATTTTCACAGCTGTAGCTTCTATTCATCCTCTGTATACTCAATAAACTTCTTTTTTCCCCCCCACAATTTACGACAAGGCTTGTAAGAATTCAAAGTAACAAATGAAATAGCTTTTATGCAGAGAAGGAATATTAAAGACAGATTTCTACACAGCAAATCCTTCCAGACTTCCTCTCTTCTGCCTTGAGGAACTGTCCAGTAAGCACAGAACAGCAAAAGAAAATGTCATATAATAACTTCTCATTGTTGACTGTAATTCAAACAGTGGGCTAGAAGGAAATAAACACTATTAGGTGCTACACTGTTCTCATGATCAGAGAAGGAGGTACCTTTTCTCTTTCACAAGTAGTCTGGAAATAAAATCTTTTGCTTCCTCTGACAGCTGTTCAAAAGCTTCTGCATCAAAATCCCAGTTGCAATTGACTACATAATTCATCGTCTCCGCATCAGTTTCTCCCAGGAATGGGGACAAGCCACTAAGCCTTAATAAATAAATAAATACATAAAATTTAAAAAACAATTTTAAAAAGCAATGTGGGAGATAAACAGTCACATGCAAGATGAATTTCTTCTCCCTTGAATCTTCTGTTCTATAGTTCTGGCCAATTTTTCAAGAGGAAGAGTTCTCAGACATGGGGGTCCTACCTGTCAGTCCCTGCCAAGAACTATACTGTTAGTGTTACTGCTCAGCAGCTCACTCAGCTAAGTCAGAGCACACCATTATTGGATCTCTAATAAAATAAATTCAGCAGGAGTCTCAGTACATATTTCAGTGCTTTCCCAACTAGAAGAGCTAGGAGGGTTCAAGAGCTTTCCTAAATCAAAGCCTACAACCAAGGTTGGCTCAAATTACACTGGTTTCTGAACAGCATATTGTTTTCATTTAGCCTCTAGCCTCAGATTTATTGTTTCAGCAATTCATTATTTCATTCAGTTACTTTTTGGCTAACAAATTTAAACCATTTATTCCGTTCACAGAAAGCATTTGTGAAAAATTCTGAGACGCTGAGTCAGCTCACCAGAGCCTTCCACAGCCACCCCTGCCTTCAACAGAAAAAAAGTCTTACTCCCATTTGTGATGTGACCTGTGGCCCAGCACTTAATGTTAATTCCTCTGGGCAGATGCAGACCAAGTCCAAGCTAATAAAATTATCAGACTGCAAATTTGAAAATTAATCTAAATCTTCAAGAATCCAATAAAAATGGAAATTCTGAAATGCTTTGGGCCACTTTTCCAAGGAATCACAATATGATCCACTTGAACTTGATAAATAAGGTGGGGTAAAGGAGAAGAATGTTTACATACTTATCTAAAGGCCTATTTGTTGTTCAGAGACTTAACACCAACTGTGAGGTACCTTCACATTGAAGGGCTGCAGCTCACTGTTTGCTTTTAACAGCATGAATTAGGATTTCCATTCTGATGGGCTCGCTGCCTGCCACGCTCCTGTACCGCAGACACCCTCCACTGCTCTGTTCTCATAGAGCCTTTGGTGCCATGACCTCTCATACTCACAACATGTACGTGATGACGCCTACGCTCCACATGTCTGTTGGGTAGGAAACAAAGTCATAGTTCACCACTTCGGGAGCCAAGAACTCCGGAGTTCCAAAGTTAACCTTCAATTTTTCTCGAGGTTTGTACCTTTAACAGAAAGAAACAGACATCAATGCTGAGAGCAGGCCAGGGGAACAAATACCTCATCTCTAGAAATCAAAGCATGGTAAAAAAAAAAAAAAAAAAAAAAAAAAAAAGCTAGCATAGCAGTCTCCAAGCCAACCAGGACAGCATTAAGGTCTTGAAGACCTTAATTAAAAGTCTTTTTTAAGATCTTGAAAACTAAGGAGTGAATTCTGCTGTAACTGCAGGTATAAGACAATCAGTTTTCCACTTGTCTGAGTAAAAACAGAAAAAAAGACCAAGAGCAATAAAATCTGCACAGACCTCTGTCAAGGAATGAGAGAAGCTATGCTTTCTGCCAGGTTCCACCTTTCCAGCAGATGTTGTCCAACATAAACCAAACAAACCTGTTTCCATTAAAAAGGGTTTGGAGAGCATTTGCTTCCCTATGCTCAGCTACATCTTAGGTTAAAGGTCTGTACAGCAGACTTGAGCAAAATGTAACTGCAAAAGTGGGATTCTCTGAACAGGATTATTTGGGCTTAGTAACATGTAAAACACAGATCCGAATAGGGAGAAAAAGATTCAATTTTATTGCTTAAAAATTAAGTGTACAGACACTGAACCAGTAATAAGTTTCACTGACGCCAGTGGGAGTTACATCTAAGTACATAGACAGAAAGCAATTAAAGCATTGCTTTTATATCTCAGCTTCTTGGAAGATTTTGTTTTAAACTCTACTTAAGTAAAAAAATTACATATTTACCCTCCATTTCATAAATAAATTAAATAAATAAATCTCAGTGCATCCATCTGTTTTCATAAATACTTCTAAAACAAGAGTCCTTGGATAGACACCAGGATATGATACATACGTACATGCTGGCACGTATATGCATGCATATACCAGGTCCTGACTTAACAAAATCCTCAAAGGGTTTAGAAAAAAAAAAAAAAAAAATGTTTTTATAGTTACACCAACAGGAGTCAATTCTTTCAATTCTGAGGATCTGACTCATGTTCCCACAGCTTTCCTCAAACAAACAAAGCAAGCAAAGTAAGAGCACAGTGAAAAGCCTCTATTTCTCTGAGGGCTTTATGTTTCACATGAGATGTGTTCATGGAGTCCCTAGAGTAAAAGCTTTAGAAGGGGAATCATTTTGAAACAATTAGAACAGCTGTATATCTTTATTCAACAGAAACCCTACTTGAAAAAGCAATTAGATAATTAACGCACACAGCAGAACTCATGCCTGCAGCAGCACAGTATTTAGCTCATTCACATACCAGAATCACTTCAGAGCCAGCAAATGCATATAAAAATATAATAAGAACTACCAGCAGCATATTTCGATGGGATTTTTTTTTAATTAATTCATAACAGAACCCTTACCTCCTTGCAAATCCAAAGTCAATAATTTTTATCTGGTTCCCTGTGTGATTTACACATAATATGTTTTCAGGCTACAAAAAGACAAGAGTATTTTCAGTTAAACATGACTAATACACAAATTTAGTAAGAATAAGAAAAATATCTCAGAGATTTTAGAATCTTTAGGATGACTCTTTTCCTTCTTCTTATTAGAGATAAGGATTTGGCTGACACATAAGTTAGAGAAAGGTTTGGTTTTGGATCTCCTGTAAGGAAGTTTAACTTCCACTCCAGTACAACACTATTCCTGTACTGAATATAAATAGATTTTGAAATGAAAAGCACCTGCTTCATGTACAACAACAGAGTCAGGTCTAATGGTTATGGTTTACCCCTGAATTTATGAAAGTGATTCCACGAAAGTCACAAGAAACATATCAAATGCACCCTCTGTTTTGTTCACGAAAGCAGAGGAAAAAGTTTCCTTCGTTTTGTTTTTGCTACTATTCTCCATTTATTTGCTAGTTTTCTTTTCCCTAACGTGACTGTTTTTCAAAGGAGAGAGAGAGTTTCCAAAGTCAGAACTGCAGAGCTGCCTGTAGGCCAACCAGGACTACTATCATCTGAGTAAGGCACTGTATGAACAAGGAAAATGATGTGGCCTGTTTTCAGCCACATCAGTTAAGGAATCACACAGTTCAGATCCAGGCAGTAAAAGGAACAATAGGAAGAAGATGGAAAAGATGTTTGGATACAATTATAAGTGCAGGAAGAATGAAGACTGGAAGCATTTCTAAGCATTTCTGTCCAAAGATGTTTTGGGGTTGGTTTCTTTTGTTTATTTTTGAAGAAGAACAGAAGGTCATTGTTTAATGTCACACAATGAAAAGTTTCTGATTTAACAGCAAAAAAAAAAAAAATTACAGAAATGCATTATTCCATTATTATAAGTAAGCTACTAAGTAGACACTGAAAAAAACCATCTCTGGAACTTCATTCACTGTGGCTATTGAATTAAGGAAGTCTATTTCTTTATGAGATTAATGAAATAAGAAATAATAGCAATTACAGCCTGTAGTGGTGTAAACCATCACTCATGGATATCACTGACCTTCAGATCTAAATGGAGAATATAATGCTGGTGCAAGTAATGGACTCCTTCACAGATTTGTTTGGTAAATAAGATTGCATCCAACTCTGTTAGACTGTAGTTTTCATCCGTGATCCGGTCAAATAATTCACCACCATCCAGACTAAAATTTTAACAGATAAGCATTAAAAACACCAAAATTCCTCATTAACTTCATTTATTTCCACATTGGAAACTCAGTTTCTAATTTAGCACAGGTCCTAACAACACAACCAGCATGTATCACATCTGCAGACTAAATGACTTTAAGAAACTTATTTTTGTATGTGAAATTAAGCATCACTTTAGAGTGCCTTCCACACTGGAAGACTTACTGCTAACATTTGGGAGGAAGCAGCAGGGGAGAATCAAAGCCTAAATTCAAAGCCACACAATCTGAAGACAAAATGGGGACCTGGAAAACCTATAGAATGTACCGAAGTATCTATTATTATCTCCATGTTAGCTTTGGGAAATTAACTCTTCAACCTATACAATGCGTTCAACTTCTAAACTGAAAGCCATATTACTTGAGCTGACAACTGAAACCAATCCTGCACAAAAAAAAGAAAAAAATAGAACATTATGTCAGACACACAGATCTGACAAGGTTTTGCAGGGTAAAAATTACAATTATTTAAATGAAAGAGTAGAATGTAGACATTCTAAAATGTCTTTTTTTTTTTTTTTTTTTGCTATTTTGTTTCCTTTTTTCTTTCACATCAACAACAATTCAACAATTCATTTTGTAATGGAAACTCAGTTTGAAAAACAAACAAACAAACAAAAAAACCAATAGCCATACTTTAAGTAATCTCCCTTGTGTCATTTCCGTACTCTGCATTCTCATTTTACTTCTTATCTGAGGTTTTACTTACCCCCTACGGTAGTTTGGTAGCTAGGGACAGCGACGCCTCAACGTTAAACTCAAATGAAAAATGAACCATAGCAAAATTATTTCATAAATAGTCTTGTAATTAGCTCCATATGCTTGAAGATAACTACCTTCCTTAGCATCTGCTTAAACTGCAATCTTGCAGTGTATGTATTTTTTAACATGAAGATATTGCCTTTAAAATATGTAGCTTCCACTCTCACAGGCTCAAAAGCCACTCAAGCCTTTTTCATATCTCAGAGTTATTGTTCTCCTTTTCTTTTAGTAATCAAAGCAAACCCAAATTCCAACAGTTCCTGAAATCATTTAAACTTACTATTCCATGATCAAAGTTATATTATTTTTGGCTTCAAAGGCATCATAAAGCTGGATCAAATTCACATGATTTAATTGGTTCATGATGTTAATTTCATTTTTCACATCCTCCTGAAAAAAAAAAAAAAAAAAAAAAAAAAAAAATTAAAAAAAGAGCAAATATGCTCCTTAAACTCCAATATATTTGAATACAATAATTTTTAACCCTGCAGCAGCTGTATGACAGGTTTCATGTGAACAAATGGCTTAATCACAAACACTGGAAATGACCAACAGTCAAATGAAGCCCAAGCTACTACTTTAACAGACAAGTTCTAATATTTGGTACTATGCAATGAGAAATTGACTCCTACAAGGAGGTTCAGTGACGTGGCGTTAAAATGAATGCAATTCACATGGTTTACAGCATGCACTCATTTAGGCTCACAGGAACATAGTTACCTTTTCTTTTGCTCCTTTCACTTTAATGACTTTGGCTGCCAAATTGAGACCAGTTGAGACTTCTGTGCACTTATGAACTTGCCCAAAACGCCCCCTGTTGACAACAAACGAAAGACAGGAAAATAACACAGCTCACCGCAGAAATTTTTCAAACTATTCTTATCATTGATTAAAAATAGCCCAGTACAAAGTGAACAGAATCAGGTGGCCAGCAGCATCGATCTCCTCTTTCACTCAGCTTATGAAGGATTAGTTTTATCTTTCCAGCCAGTTGTTCAACGCTTACATTAAAATATTATGCCCCTTCGTATTACTACATTTCACTGTGGTATGATGACCTGATGATATTCTTTTTCAGTTCTGTAACTGTACCCATTTGCTGTCCTTCAGTGATGTGTCAGTGGACATATTAACAAGGATATTTCTGTCTTGATCTCATAACTTTTAAAATGACTAACACCAGTAACTGTACCCGCTCCACAAACCACATTTCTTGCATGGTGTAAATTCTCCCCCATGTCACCCAGATACATTAATGCCCCTTGGGATGATTCCTAAACATCATTTTCTCTGCTATTGCATCATCAGGCCTATACTTAAGCCATATTCATACTTGAATTAGTCTGTAAATAAAACCTTCTTGTTAGATAAGTACACAAAATACAAAGGCTGAAACAGCTGTAGATTTTCCTCAAGTCAAAACTAAATGCGAGGTCAACATAATTACAATTTTTTCCCTTAGTTTTCTTTAAGGGAAAGTTCAATGTGAAATAAAGATTTTGGAAGCTGTCTGACCCCTAATGGGCTCTGCTGACTTCAAATGCTCTGAATCTGACTGGAAATTATGGATTTTTGTCAAGACTCCAGCTGTAGCCAAAATTATTACAGCAAATGCAAATAGTATCCAAGAGCATAGTCAGGAGCCTGAAAATGGAACTGAGGCAGAAGCCAGTAATCTAAGGGACGTAGAGGTGCACCTCAGACTGGTTCATAAGAGGGCAACTATAGTAGCCCAGGAAGTCTGGAGGATGAAGAGATGAACAATCTGACATGCTATCTGCATACTCTCTCCTTGCTTTTCTATTGTAGGCCAAATTTACTCTCTTCTTGCTGTACCAGAGAAAACCAACTTCCTCAAAGCTTAAAGGACTAAAAATGGTAGAGAAAGTGATGTTATCAAAATAGAGGGGAAAGTATTCATAACATACATGAAAAATAGTCACAGTAGATACATTTGAATCCCCTTCTGCTCCACACAGAACTGTAAATTAAAGAAATAAGCTGATATTCATCACTCTCCATGCTTTTGGGAGTGAGTGAGCATTTTGATCCTCTAAGCAACTGCTCTGGCTGCAGCAGGCTTGCACATGCCTCACCTGTACACATCTTGGTGCCATCTGAAGAAGATTACTAGTTCCCGAGCTAACTGCACTTCTTCACAATTACAGTACAGCAGAAGGGGGCAGAGAGACTTACCCTCCAAGGACTTCATGGTGACACACTGAGTAGCACGTTGTCACATCTGTTAGCTTGACACTCACCATGCGATGTTCAAAAGGAGCTGGGGGAGAAGGGCTGTCATCTAAAGAGGAGAAAACCTGGTCACTGAGATATTTCTCCCTCATCACTGCAGCTTCATCTTCATCACACCAACATTCTCAGTCCACAGGGCATGCACATCACTTCATTTTGTTTGCTCGATACAATGAGAAGTCTCAATTGCCTTCTACTGGAATTCAGACAAGCACTGAAGTATCTACAAACATTAAGCATGCAATTCTTTCCACTATTTTTAGAGTGAAATGCAGGTAAAATACCAGAAGCAATGGAACTGCTCATTCTTAAATGCAAATCAGTTGAGCACACACAATCACTTTGCTTTTCATTAAGAAAAAAAAAAACTTTAATTGGATTAAAAAAAAAAAAAATTCTAGATGGTTGTAAAGGAGATGCTGAAAATATTCAAAATCTCTCTGCTGCTTCAAATACAGACTTCTACTGTTAGCAGCCTTCTAGAGATGATGGATGAAGGCCCATCACTGAGGATAGGATCCCACCTCCCAGCTCTCAACCCTGTCTTCTTAACACAGCAATGCTGAAAGAGCCCAGTGAGGTAGGTTAACATTTGACCTTATGCATTAACAAAAGAGGCCATTCAACAAAAACATCTGGAAGTTTCAAAAAAATTATACTTGACATTTTTCTCATTTTGATAAGCTAACTGGGAAAACCAGCATGAATACACAACAATATCAGCATAGACATCAGTTAATTCAGGAAGCTTCTACCAGCAACACCTTGTTTTACTAGCAACATTTTATTAAGAGCTGTAAACACTTAAATGATTAAGTTTAATCAGTTCCTGGGAGTTAAATAATTAAATTATTATATGCTTAATGTCTAAGTTCTTCTAGGATAAAGCTTCTACCATCCACTCACGGTGTTGCTCTTTCAAAGTAATTTTACAATTTAAGTCCAGAGATCTTGGTGAGCAATTTAACACATATGCAAATTCATTTTCCTGCCACCACTGCTGAGAGCACCAGATGCAGCTCAGGGCATCTACCCATACACATACATTCTGGAATTACACGTCTGTTGCCTGAAAAAACAGTAAGTGTTCACACACTAATCGAGAAGAGATCTATGGCCAATAGCACAAAGACCAAGCTAGACACTCGTCCTGCAATATTCTGCTGTTCTCTTCAGTCTGTAATTGCAGAAGCATACCTAGTTTGCTTACTCTACCTTACTGAACAAAGGCTATATCTGAAGGACTGCGTTTTGTCAATATTACTTCTTCTGTAGAAATATACATTCCACTTAATTTCATCTGAAAGGATATTTTTACTGCAAAACACCTTTTAGAAGGAAAAGTACTATTGAAATAAACTGTACTAATGTTAATTCTCTTGTTTTTGACCAAACTTATCTGTGGTGTTCAGTTAAATACTCTTAAGCATAGGACCCAGGTGGTGTAGCACGCACTACTCCAGCTATTAGTTTGTATGCAATACACAGGGATAGCACAAACTCAGTGTAAAAGTTTCCAAAACTAAGTACAAGCAGCTTACCAACGATCATCCCATCCTGTGTGGAAAGTTCTTTGCTAGCTTCCAATGACTTAGTGTTCTCCATTGTTGTTCCTGCACACTGGCCCACATCGTTCTCACTTCCCACTGAACAGGGGGGCTCAGATTCTCTCCTGTCAGAGTTGGTAACTGCCAAGGAATCTTTTACTTCTACTGTTCCTTGATGGATTTTGACTTTTATTCCCAGATCTTTCTTTGGCTCTGTTGCAGCGGTACTCTGTGAAACTATGGGTTTGCATTTTAGTTCTGATTTGTCTTCAGCCTTTTTACTTGGCTTGGGCTTGTTCAATAATGGCTGTTGCTTCCCTGTTTTTGGTGCAAGTTCATTTTGCTTCTTGTTGTCTCTCACTTCTTGATTTGATTCAGCGCTGACATTCTTCAAAGTCTGTTCAAGCTTGGATTTACTAGGCAGCTGTTTACATCCTTCCACTTCTGATGATAAAGAGGACGGGGATTTTGCTTTGAGATTTTTATGTCTGTGATCACTTGAGTTCCCTTCTTTGCTCATTTCAATCTTTTCTTTCACTTCAGTCATATGAACATCAATGGCTATCCTGCAGAGCAAGCAGTTGACAATTCACATAGATACCCAGACTTTCTTTCACAACTTCACTTAGAAAGAAAACTTATGAACTTCTTAAAATGCAGATTTCTATAGTATTAAAGAAACATAATTACACCAATCCTCTGAGGAAAAACAGCACTAAGGAGAAAGCACTGAAAAACATACAGATAATTTTTCTGCATCCTTGACTGCCTCACCTGAGCAGAACATGTCTCACAAACTCCAAAGTGCTTAACTCCACCATCAGAAAGCTGTTCCAACTTCTATCAGCTATTACAGTTGAACTAATGAGATATCATTCCTATGGGTAGAGAGATGGTAGAGATTGTCTTTGCCAATTACAGGCTGAGTATCCAAACATCTGCCTGGTCATACAGCTCTACAAATCTTTGTGTTTGTATTCATCCTAGTCCTGTCCAGCTGGCTGACTTGCACACTCAAACATGTTTATGCCTTATGGGATAGAATTCTTTCCACAGCTTTCTGTTAGAAAAGTAACTTTTGTAGTTCTCCCACCCCATTAATATTATTCGCCCTGATGTTCCAGCTACCAGGAAACTTCAAATATTTCCCTCATTTCCCAGAAGTTAATCCCTCTTTCAGAGGAGTAACGTCATTACAAAATACACAAAAGAAATTGTTTCCACTTTTGCATAACTGAAGTCTGAAGTTTCCCAGTTTTAGCACCTTTCACAGCTGCTGCCTTGTGCTATGAATTTAAACTGCACCAGTAGTAAGCTATTCAGAGCACTGAACGCTGCTCTGTGCAAGCACTTCCACTGCTATCTAGACAAGCCTGAACTCAAGAGGACTCTTGGGCATGTCTCCAAACAGGAGAACACAATGTTCTTCTGACACTTCTGCAGGGGCTTACAGACCTCATTAAAAGTAGCATGCGTTTCAAAGATGCATTTACTACACTATGCTTCACATGCAAGCATAATAGGGACCTTGTTCAGGAGTGTTGTCTTTTCCCAGGATTTACTCTAGGTTCTATCTTCTGGTTTTCTGTTGGCTTCCCAACTCTCTTCACCAAATGCTTTGGCACTTGCATACCCCCTCTGTCCAAACCATTCAGCTGCTCCAAAAGCTGCTCTCTGTGTGCAAGTTCACTCCTGCTGTATCATATTTAATCAGCACCAAATGCCATAGGGATAACAGCAACTGTTCATCAGCTTGTTCACAAACACCTGAGCCAGCCTCAGTGCGGGAAGCACAGACCCAGCTCCACTTAAAGAAGCCTCATGAGCCAGAGGCAAAACAGAGGGAGGTCTCCTGTTTCTTAATGCTGTTACAACAACAGATTTGGGGTTATCAATGTATATGAGCTGTACACAATTTGTTCCTAAGTGTTGGAGAAGAGGCCACGATGGTGGAAACCACGATGGTTTCAAATTAAAACACACGCACAGAAGTAGTGTCACATTCTTGTCTGGGCTTCAGACATTAATTTGTACTAGGGGTGCTCCAAAAGTATCGCCTCCCATTTTATCATGTTGGTTTCATGATGTCAGAGGCAGATGTTGGTGGCACGTAATAGAGGATGAACCTTCCCACCAGCGTTCCCTTAGATTTTTTTTTGCTGTGCAACATACAGCAGTAGAAGGGCTGCTGATAAAATGGTACCTGATATGGAAGCGCAGATGAGGCAAAGGTGTGTTGCTGAATTCCTCCAAGTAGAAAAATGGCACCCACAAACATTCACTGATGCTTGCTGAATGTTTATAGAGAGCAAGCAGTGGGTGTCAGCACAGTAAGGCAGCCGGTGAACTCTGTTGGTTCAGGGTTGTTTTTTTTGTTTTTAAAGGAGAACAGCATGCAGGCTACTGTTAATCGCTGGTAAAAACACGTAGCTCATAACATTTTGTATCTGAGAATTTGTTCAATCAAATAGTGTTATTGTGCTCCTTGTAGCTGTTGTGGTTTCCATGGAAATAAATAGGCGGCATTACTTTCAGAGTTACCTACATAAGCACTACTAATAGTGTAATGGGGGACACAGTAATGTAGATGTATACTTATGCATACCTGAATGCATATACCACTCATACCCACACATATGTATTTGTCAGCCCCAACAGAAAAGGCACGACACTTCAAATTTGTCACTGAATTGGCAGCTGTTGAGGTTTGGTTGGTAGAGTTTTGTGCTTTTGGTTTTTAATATAATTACAATCAAATTGTGAATAAAGAATTCAAAAGGAAAAGAATTGTTAAAGACATGTTACAAAGTACTTACCCATGACAGATGAGACTATTAGAAATTAAAATAATCTGGTCATATCTTTAGGTGATCAAGGCATCAAAAAAAAAAAAAAAAAAAAAAGCTTTAAAGACTACTTAGGACATAAAACGAAACAAATGCTTCAGCTTTATCATAGACAACTAAACATTTCAAATTCCTTCCAGCCCCATGTTTACAGAAACAGAAGTTGGAAAAGAGTGTTTAAAAGGTCCATCTACTTGAGATGCAGAAGGGCAGTCACATTCCTCTAATACGCAGTAGCCCATCACATCAAATCTCCCATATGTCTAGCCCTCTAACTTCAGACAAACAAGAGGTTCTTCATACTTTGAGTTTTTTTGCCTTAACTGTTTATAAGGTCCCACTGCAGTTTTCCCATCATGACCATTTCTCCCCTGGAGCATGCCTAAGCAAGAGCTGACTTTTGAATAATCTGTTATTCCTTTTTTTTCTTTTTTTTTTAAACACGTGAAATGGTTTCAGATCATGTAGAAAACTAGCAGCAAAGTCATTACCTGGTTTGTGTCACTTCACACCCTGTGTCAGATAAAGCCTGGGATGTGGAGGGCACAGCTTCCTGCAATGCCATACTCCGTGACGGAGGTTTGTTTTCATTCTCTTTGGGTTTCTGATGAAAAAGCTGCTTGTGGCACTCTTCTGGGCATGGTGCTCTGCCCATATTGTGAGCTTTAACAGGAACATCTTGGTTGCCTACATGATCTTGATTTATGAAGGGAAGACCATTATGCTGATTCAAGGCTTTGACACCGAAATCTTTTTGCTGTTGACAGCTCCATGCTTTTCCAGTACCTTCTACCGCTTTCTGCTGTGCTGTTCTCTCTTTAGCCTGGGGTCTGGAGTCAGCTTTGTAGGCAACAGCAATTGAAGCATTTACCTTCTTGCATCCTCTACTGTCTTCATCCAATTTTTTCACAGTTTTAGTATCTGAAAACACAACATTAATAAGCTATCCATGGCAGAAGCAGTGGCAAAAAAGAGGGAATAAAGTAACACACCCACTCAAAATAATCTAAGCAGTTCCTACTTCTGAAAGAAGTAGCCACTAAAAGCCACTAAAAATCCTTACCCAGGTTCAGTCAGTCATTGTTAATGCTCATGGCTTAATCAAAGTCTTACCTGCACTCCACAAAAGGGGAAGGTTCTCCAGCACTCTCAGGATAATTACTATATATATTAACAACAGGAATTTCTCATTTCTTTTGGTCTTCAGTATGCAGAGGCTACCAAGATTAGTTCACAAACTTGTGTAGCTTTCAACTCATAACTGTGACCAGCTGTTTGCTTGATTTTTGTCACTTCCTATCTGAAACTAAAAAAGGGAGCGCCCATGATTTAAAGGGCTCACTTTAAAAAAGAAAAGGACATTTTCTGAAGACAACAGGTCTGTTGAACTCACATTCACGCCATTACAACTTCTCAAGTATTAATAATGGATGTGAAACGGCAATGTCCAGACAGCTACATCCTAAAGAGGAATCTAGCACTGTTGTGGCAATGAAACTTTGTTGTTTATTCAAAAAATAATAATAATACATTTGCAATGTCAATATGCCCCTATTCCAAAGGAGGATAAAAGTGCTTTTTGAGTTTTATTAAGACAAATTTGGGGACTGTCTGCTAGGTGATACTGCCTCACCTCTGAGGTATCTCCAAACCAGTACTGCTCTCTTGTTTCAGATCACTGTAATACCAAAACAAGGAAACAGTGTCGCCAAGCGAAGATGCTGTTTTTAATTTAATGAGCTTCAAGGTTTCTTGGGGGGGCTGATTTAGGAGACAGATACAAGGAAGGGGAGAACATCTCTATTTTCTCAATAATTCATTCATAGTAATTCCTCTGTGGAATTCATTCATAGTAATTCCTCATTTAGTGGAAAATAGCAGACTATTCTAGTTTGTCTGCTGCATGTTCTAGAGTCAAAGACTGTAACATGCCCAGAGTGATACATACCTTCAGAAGGCTTACTGCTTTCAGTTTGCGTTCCTCTGTTACTAAGTACACGCTTAGGTTTTGAACCACTCTCCTCAAGCTTTTCCTTGGCCTGAAAAATGACAAAAATAACCGTTACGCTCAAGGGTGTTTATTTCTCACTGGGTTTCTCTAACTTCATAGGTTGAGACCCTGTAAAACAGGTACTGACACCTCTGAACTTCTGAATCTTCAGTTACTTCTGCTTCCATACACCCCTCCTGCCCCCCACGCTTTTTTGAGCTCTTCCTGCTTTTGCAAAAAAAACCATACTCCTAAAACAAGATGGCACAGAGTAATGTTTGAGGTCTCCGCTTTCCAAAACATTATTTGTAAGACATTTTGCCTCGAGTCACCGTTACTAATATTGATTAAAAACCATGCCATATGAAACACAGGAATTATTAGAAGATAAAATGATGTTGTATTTCTGATACTTGTTGACTGATGGTTGAAGGATGTTGTTGTAGATCCAATGCTGTATTTGTCTCAAGGCATCTAGAGATTCATGATTCCAGCAATGACAGAGGTTACACAAGGAGCCTTTAGTCTATATTATAACACTCATACACATGCAACATTATTAAATGTTACCTTTAGTATGGTTAAAAACAGACTTTTTCTAAAGCAATTTCATTCTCCAATTAACACAGCACTGAGAACAGTTATTTTGTAACAGCATCACTATAACACTTCACAAAGCAATACATTTGTAATAAAACTAAATATTTGGCATAAAGCATTATACAAAAATAAGAAAAGGTATAATATCTGGGATGGCCTATTTAAATAAGCAGCCTCTTATCCTCATTCATATACAACCTTATAAATTCCACTACAGAGCACATCCCTCCAACCCTTTCCCCCCACCACAAAAAACAAAAACAAAATAAAATATTGTTACCATCTTTATCGCAGCTCTAAGCAAACCTGCAACAATGACTATGGGGAACATTTACTTGCAAAATCCTGTATGCAAAGAAAGCCTTGAATAAGGGACAGCTTAGTTTTTTGCCCTTGTTTTGTTTGTTGTTGCTGTTTTGTTACATAAAAAAGAAGCCTGGAACCTGTAAAGCTTCGTTCATAGCCTTTTATTAATTTGTCTCCAACTTTGAATGCCTCTTCCATAAGCATTCCTATGGCATCCCAGGAATGCTGTCATATCATCAGCAAACAGCTTCACCCAAAAATGAAAACATGACCTCCCCACTCCCACCCCCATTCTTAGTAACCTTGTGCAAAGCCAACTGTGATAAGCAGCGTATCGCTACAAAACAGCAAAGGTTGGAAAATAGCAACAAGCAAGTAGGAAATTCTTTGTGCGCAACCCCAATGCAACTGCGAATCTTTTTGGACACATTATAAAACAGACTGAAATAAAAAACAGACCGAAGTTAGCACAGGGCTCACCACAAGCTGATGCATTTTTAAACTCACCCACACTTTCCTCCACATTACTCTAGCTAGGTCACATACATTTACTACCTCTCTAATTTAAAACTAGTTCAAATACCAGACTACTCAGCAGCCTGTAATCAAAGCACAGACATATCTTAAGTTCTCATAACTAATCTCATGCTTCAATTTCAAAAACTTCCCAGTAACAAGAAAGGAGAACAGCTATGGTACTTCAGCAAAAGCAGTTAGCTCCATAACAGTTCACTTGCCAAACACACATTGTGAGTTCTTCACCCAAGGCAGTAGTTACAGCCTGGGATGGAGACTTCCACTCTACCCCAGTTCATCAGGCCACCAAGAGCAGGACAATTCACCTGTCATCCCATTCATATCTTGAATGAATTTACGACCTCAGACCTTCTTTCTCACCAACACTGATGAGGCAGTACCCAGTAGCTAACTAACAATTGATCCTGATTGCATGCTACAAGTCCATGGGAAAGGTTCCTCCAGTGCTGCTCTAATAGCAGTCATCTATATCCCTCCTTACTGCTCACTTAGAAACTGACAATTTGGCAATGAAATCTTTATATTCGTCTTCTCCTGGCCAGTAACATATTGTGCAGTCAGTTCTGTTCTACATGTAAGCCTCATCAAGGACAGTGCTTGGCTCCAGGCCTTTCACAGGGATAGCAGGCAGTCACTTGTAACAACACAGGTCATCATTTATTGGTATCAACACTAATGGAATCTCTTTATAAATCCTTCCGTCTCCATACAGTCTAGCTCACTTTTCATCTTCTGGCATTTAAAAAGGGATATCAGGAGAGCTCTCAAAGACTGAAAGGTATGCTAGCATCTAACACTGCCCTGGTTTTATAACACTTCAGGAGTTCAGGTGTAGCATCTACCAATACACGTTACTGATTTGACAAAATAACATTTGGATCAATATAGAAATGCACACTGACATTTGTACGAAGTCGTCCTTACAGTAAGGACATCTCTATACAGGTGTGTAAGAGACTCTTGGAATGACATTTCAACTCATGGAGTTCTCCCTCACACTTTTTTTTTTTTTTTTTTTTTTGGGGGGGGGGGGGGAGGGGGGGCAATAACAGTATGCAAGTCATCATGAAGACTCAACTCCCAAAACTAATTCTAAATACTTAACTCTCAGAAATCAAGCTCAATCAGCTCCAAATACCATACCAACTACAGATCAGTCTTATCATATTAGTCTATCTTTCCTCACTATTCTTGATAATTAGGAAATGCTTTGGAATCGCTGTCTGTGAACTGATGGAAACCACATATGCAAAACCACATGAACTACTTGATTTGAGGAGTGATCAATGTCAATATAGTTCATGAAGTCACAGGCATATAAACAAAAGTCAGAAAAAATTTTCAAAACTTTTGTTGTGTTCAGACTTCATGATCGATCAAGAAAATAGAAGCAGCTTCCTTCAGTAAATACTTCCCAGTACATTACTCCTGCCTTTCACCGGAACCTCATCTCTGTCACCAATGTGAATGACATTGCTGATCTTCAGGCACTCTTAGAAGCTGAATCTTTTACAGCAGCAATCAGTTTCTCATACCTGTTACAGGATTGCTTGGCACACTCTGAGGACTTGAGACATTTCAAGGCACATTTTAAGATTAGGTCTCTGCCACAAAACGCTTATAATTTAGAGGTCATGGCAGTAACCTGCAATAGCAATTCTTGAAGGAAAACCTAAATTATAAATGTTATGCAAAAAAAAAAAAAAAAAAACCTGCAGGAGAGACTTGCTACTTCACAAATAACTATCAAGAGCAGCAGAAGAAAACCAACCTCAACAGGGCTTTCCAGTAGACTCTCCTTCTTCCAGGGCACAACACCTTTGAGAATAAAATCCACTACTTTAGAATTTTTTAGTACTTCTCCCACTAAAGTAATCACTTTATCCAGCGTATCAATCCTTCCCTCTATCTTTGCCAGTCTCTCCTTGTGCTTCGAGGCATCAAGCTGAGCAACTTTCATCAATCTTAACACTTCTGAGCATATGCTGTCCATATCAGTCTGGTGAGGACTGTCCGATAGCTTCAGGCCTTTTTCCACTTCACCTGTCTCATCAAGGTCTCCTCTGGATACCGTTAGCTTGTTAATGCCCTTTCCTACATCCTCAATAGCTTTAACTCGTTGCAGTCTGCCTGTCAGGTCTTCTTGGAAATGCAACAGTTTGTCCATCTTCTCATTCAGTAAGTTCAGTTTTTTATCCATCATACTTAAATTGTTCACTTTTATAGGTTGTAACTTGGTCGAGGCATTTCCCTCTGCTGTGTCCAAGCTACCTGCAGACATTCTGTCCAGACAGCACGATGTCAGATAGATTAGGCTGGCTTTTCATTAATCATAAATTAGAAAATGAGGGCCTGAAAGTTAATCTTCTGTAGCTATGCCTACACCAGACAATCTCACTTATTGGAGTTGCTGGAGCGTATCATTAGATAGCTATTGCGCAAATGATTTACTTGTGTGTTATCTATTTCTTACTGCATGCTCTCAATGTTGGAGGTAATTTGGCACCAGGCTGTATTTTCTTGGGCCTCCTTGACGTCACAAGACCATTTAAAATTCTTTCTCAAGTGGCTGCTGATAGGCAAGCATCTTAGCAATTGCCAATGCCTAAGCAGACTTCTGTACAGAGAAGCACTGTTTTTATGACCAGTTTTACTTCTGTGATATAGAAAAGAATTTGCTAGAGCATTTCTTCTCTTTAAATACAACAAATACAGAAGTAAGTGTGGTGGTGTTGTGCTAAGGGCTGGAAGAGTTCTGCTTTCCAGCACAGACATAGGACACCCAGCAGAGACACAAGCTGTGCTTGTTAGGTTGGCTGGCACTTGAATTTAAAAATAGAGTACAATGACAAGGATCTGAAATACGTATCTAGCACCAGCATGTCTTTGTCAACTGAAACTTCTAAAATTATATCTTTCTCCCAGGCTGTGAAAGTGAACCAAGCAAAAAATCTTCACAAGGACAAAGAGCCAGTCCAACAAAATTACTAAATTAGATATTTTATAGACTTATTACTGACTTCCTTTCACTTCTAAGTCACGTTAGTGTGTCTACAACATTCCCTAGAGAACAGAAAAGTAGCCATTCCACACTCGCACAATCCCCACACTTTCAAATGCCTTGCAATACAGAGCAACTCTTTGTCTCCAATCCCTTTCATTTTTCAGAATGAGCACGTGGGAAAAAAACATAATTATTTAAGTGTATTTGCTGTATGAGATGAGGCATCATAGAAATTAGAATCCTTTCTCTACACACTACAGAGTCAGTAGTAACAATATTAAAATTATCCTTTCGTGAAAGTATTTAGTTCTTGCCATTTCTGTAGGAAAATACTCCTTCCTAGCATTCTGTGATGTACATACAGAGAAGACACAGCCAAAGCTGACTCCTACTCACATGCATCTGTTCAACATACAGGTACGCAGCAGGATGTTAAATAGTGTTGAATAAGCACCTGCAAAATTATGGGTGGGGTGATGGATGAAGAAAAAGGAAACATCAGTTGGTCCGTAGTGAGAAATTTAAAGTCACTTCATGACTGATGCTTAACTTTTTCCTTCCTTCTCCCAACTTTTTATTGGCTGTTAAACACACAAAGAAAA